GTTTTCACTCTTATTCCTTTGTGGTAATAAAAACAATGCTAGAAAGAAACAAAAATATGGAAAGAAAAGTGAAATTCATGTGGTGTTGGTAGGTGACATTTGCTATAAAAAGGGTCAATTTGACAACTGTTGGGGGCAAAAATTGTTGTTTTGTCCTGCTCTATAGAATATAGCTTCATGAGTGAAGGTTTCAGTCTCAAACTGGACTATTCTGGGGGTGGGTGGGGGAGGGGAGTATCAATGTAGCATCAATGGCAGCTAAATGAGTCACACTGTCCCACGTGTCAGGTACAGCCAAAAACCATAGAGTCAGCAATTGCACTCCTGGGTATTTACCCCAAAGACACAGATGTAGTGAAGAGAAGGGCCATATGCACCCCAGTGTTCATAGCAGCAATGTCCGCAATAGCCACACTGTGGAAAGAGCCGAGATGCCCTTCAACAGACGAATGGATAAAGAAGATGTGGCCCATATATACAATGGACTATTACTCAGCCATCAGAAAGGTTGAATACCCAACTTTTGCATCAACATGGATGGGACTGGAGGAGATTATGCTAAGTGAAATAAATCAAGCAGAGAAAGTCAATTATCATATGGTTTCACTTATTGGTGGAACATAAGGAATAGAATGGAGGACATTAGGAGAAGGAAGGGAAAAATGAAGGGGGGAAATCAGAGGGGGAGATGAACCATGAGAGACTATGGACTCTGGGAAACAAACTAAGGGTTTTAGAGGGGAGGGGGGGGGGGGAATGGGTTAGCCTGGTGATGGGTATTAAGGAGGGCACATATTGCATGGAGCCCTGGGTATTATACGCAAACAATGAATCATGGACCACTACATCAAAAACTAATGAAGTACTGTATGGTGACTAACATAACATAACATAATATAACATAACAAAACAAAACAAAACAAAATAAAAAAATTAAAAAAAAAAAACAACCTTGGAGCCATGGAACTCTTGCCCAGACAGACCCTTACAGTGAGAGTGAGCACCCCTTGATCTGCAGATGAGGAAATGAGGGCCCCAGAGAGACCACAGAGTTGGTTTATGGCAAGGGATAGACAGTTTTCTTAGGAAAGTGAGAATTTAATCACAAAAAGAATTAGTAGAAAATTATCCTAATCTGCCGAGTTAGTTTATTTTTTAACTGTGACCTAAATCCTTCTAAGTGCAACTCAGTTATCATCTCCAAAATCCTTCTAGAACCCCCAGGCTTGGGCCAAGGACTCTTCCTCGTGTAACCACCTTTAGCATCTCTCTTCCATAGCTCTTGTTAGATTTTGCAGAAATTATCTGGTCAGGTTCTTCTTTATAAATCCTTCACATACATTCATCTTTATAGTCTGTTTTGCTTCATTCTTCTTTGTACATTATAGAAATAGAATAATTACCAGCAACATTAATGAACCCCCTCCTATTTGTGGAACTGTTTTTTAATAACCTCCCTGGGAGCGCTCTATTTTACTTATTAGGGTGAGCCTGGGCAGTGGTGTTTTCGGGAAGTCATGGTAAGTTTGAGCAGATAGTCTATGGGCATTGAAATTATCTGACAGTGGAAAGCTGTTCTGAGCCAGGTTGACACTAATAAACAAGCTTGCATGGGGCACGGGGTGGGGGGAGTTTGGCTACACTGTTGATGTCAGTGTGGTGGCCAGCTAGAAATAAACAAGGGGCCCTTTGTTCTACTAGTGGCAAAAACTTTATATGAGTGAGAATGGAGTAGCTTAATGAGCCTTAAGTGGCAGCCTGGACAAATAGGAACTGAAACCTTAGTGTTAGTGAGAGTCCGGATCTGATTCACTCTTTGAATTTACTTTTTCTATTAAAAAAATATATCAAACATAGGAGCAAGTGTAGAGAATATTATTTGAACATCTGCATAGCCAGCCATCAGCTTTACTAAACCTTAACTTTTTGATATTTTCTATCCTCTTTCTTCCCTACCCAGAGGCTTTTATTGCACATTTGGTGTTAAATACTCTGAGATTCTGAATTTGACTCATTGGGGTCTCCCTCCATGCCAGGGCCTCTGTGTAATGCAACAGGCACTGGGTCTTGTAGCAATAAAAGCATAGTTTTGGAGCCGCTTGAGACTATTATAAAGATTCCAAATGTGGCAGTGAGATCAGACTGCAGAGCCAGGGTTTCACAGACCTTACATTCTTGACCAGTCTTGTGTGTTTCCCCAAGGGATGAGGCAAGATGGTGGCCCAGAAAGTCACTCATCAAGGTGAACCTCAAACAGACATGGTTTGAGGATCTCTGGTTTAAGGGTAGTGTTTTTCAGTCTTTCTTGACTGTAACCCACAGTAGCAAATTGCATTGCATTGTGCATTGCAAATTGCACAGTAGCCCTCAGCATAGGCGTGTGTACGTCCATGCACACTCACAGAGCACATACCTGTGAATGAAGGTGTTAAAGAAGTAATACCCTTTCTTTGTAAGCCGCACTGTAATATAGTCTGTTTTGTTGTACAAAAGCTATTTTGTTTGATCAAACTGATTTCACGTGTCATTAATAGATAGGAACCCATGGTTTAAAACAACAGTGAACCCTGGTTTAGAGAACCGTTATTTGTCTCATGGAGCAAACATTTTTTAAAGGGTGTATTTGGTTTAATGTTGCTGAACATTTTATAAAAAGCTTTTATCTATCCCTGACCTAAACTTAAAGCTTTATTTCACAATTTATACATAGAAGTCCCATGTAAAACTAAGCAGAATTCGAAGCTCTTTGGGGGTTCAGGTTATTCTTCATCGTGTTACTTCTCTTTCAAGCTCCTAATCCTCTTCAACCATTGCTTTAAGGCAGCCTGTCTTGATTAAATAAACAGAACTTGAACACAGTGACTTAACTATTTTTTATAAATTCATGATCGTTAAGCCACAAAAATCAACCTTTCCAAATAAAACTGAGTATAAGTCAAACTGCCAAGTGAGAAAACCCAGCTCTCAAGTCTCCTTTGCATCAGAGTTTACCTCTCTGTACAATGCTAAATAAAGTCTATATGAAGAATAAATGCCTCAGGTGTTGCTTTATATTTATTAAACTCATCAATTTGTGTGTAACCTGGCTGACATCCTCCTCCCCTGGGGGTGCCTGGCACCTATCACGACAGCAGAGGTTTATGTAGCACCTTTGTTGGGAGAAGTTTATATAAGATTTTTTATTTATTTATTTGACAACAGAGAGAGAGAGAGAGGGCACAAGCAGGGGGAACAGCAGAGGGAGAGGGAGAAGCAGGCTCTCTGCTGAGGAGGGAGCCTGATGCAGGGCTCCATCCCAAGGACCCTGGGATCATGACCTGAGCCGAAGGCAGATGCTCAACTGACTGAGCCACCCAGGTGCCCCGGGAGAAGTTTATATAATTGTACTCAGGTACAAATTTCTGTCCAGGGAAGCAGAAGAGAAAATGATGCTTACTGCATACTAAACAAGCAGTCGTTAAGAGATTTTGAGCTAGATTGATTCTAAAATACTAAAATGAGTTTGCTTGCTCTAAAATGTTACAAACAGACACTTTAAACGTTAATAAGGTAGCTGGTTTCCAAAATCTGGAAAGAGAGGGTTTTGTTTCAGCCAACTATTTTGCAGAAGAGGAAGTATGGTTCTACCTCAGGAAATTTAAATGGGACTGCTGAATAACTGGGAAAGAATGTCTCCTTTGGATGACAGGGCGAAGAAGCATTCAACTGATTTTCAGGCAGAATAACAAATGTGACAGCAGTACTTTTTTGTGTACACGTTTATGTACCATGACTGTGTGTAACTTCTAAAAAATACAGTTCTCAACTTTTTGGTCTTATGACACCTTTCTACTCTTAAGAATTATTGAGAACTCCAAAAAACCTTTGTTTATGCAGCTTATATCTATCAATCTTTACCATTTTGGGAATTAAGACTGAGAAACTTAAAAATATTTATTGATTCGTTAAAAGAGAATGATAAACCCATTATATATTAACAAAACATTTTTATTTAAACAATATTTAAAAAGAATTATTGAAAAGACTGTTAACAGTTTTATATCTCTGCAAATCTCTTTAATGCCTGGTTAAGAGATGACACTTGGATTCTCATATGTTTTTGCATATCATCTGTTGTGATAAATTTTTTTAAGTTGAAGAAAAGATAGGACCTTAGAGCCCCCGAAGGGAACTCCCTGGTCCTTTGAAAACCACTGTCCTATAAAGTAGTTTGGAAGAATATATATAAGTGGTGAGATTATTAGTGTCCTAATTTTTTTCTATTCCACTTATATATTTTGCCAACAGTAAAGATGGATTACTTGTACAAACTCTAATTGAGAGTGGAAGAAGCCTGAGCATGTTGAGGAAAGATTATAGAAACCCTCAAAATCCAGGCAGAGAGGTTTATACTTGGGAAACTAAGGAGCCACTGTAATTTCTTAAATAGGAAAATGACTTGGTAAAAATTGTATTGGGGAGTAAATGGATTAGAATTGGAAGAGAGGAGCTACTTCAGAGGTTGTTGCAGTAATCCAGGAGCATGGTGAAGTGGGCTAGGCCTCACATATTGGTGGAAATGGAGAGGAAATTTCAAAATCTGAAAGACATTTTGAAAGCAGAATTACCAAGGGGATGTAGAGAGGGAAGAGCCAAAGATGACTAAGAGTTTTTAAGTCTAAAACATTTGAAGAGTATTTTCTCCCTTATATCCAACCTTTAATTTTTTCTGAAAATTATCCCAATAAAGCTAATTAGGGTTTTGTCTTGCTTTTTTTTTTTTTTTTTTTTTTCAGAGTTGGCCAGCCCCTTCTAGAGCTTAAGAGAAAATCAACCCAGTTCCCAACTGTAATTGGTCAGTTACTTCCAGAAGAAAAGAAAGACCTATGACATCCCTGGAGAGTTCTTACCTATGACATCCCTGGAGTGTTACTTGCTGCGATCTTCCCTCAGGCCCTGCAGGCAATAACGGGCTGTCTGTCCAGTTCCTGTTTGCCCTGGACACCTGCAGTTCACCTCTTATGCACTCCAGCACCCCCATCAGCTCCCTCTTCTCCTTCACTAGCCCAGCAGTGAAGAGACTGCTAGGCTGGAAGCAAGGAGATGAAGAGGAAAAGTGGGCAGAGAAGGCAGTAGACTCGTTAGTGAAGAAATTAAAGAAGAAGAAAGGAGCCATGGATGAGCTGGAGAGGGCCCTCAGCTGTCCAGGGCAGCCCAGCAAATGTGTGACAATTCCCCGGTCCCTGGACGGGCGGCTGCAGGTGTCCCACCGCAAGGGTTTGCCCCATGTCATTTATTGCCGAGTGTGGCGCTGGCCTGACCTCCAGTCTCACCACGAGTTGAAGCCGCTGGAGTGCTGTGAGTTCCCATTTGGCTCCAAGCAGAAAGAGGTGTGCATTAACCCCTATCACTACCGCCGAGTGGAGACTCCAGGTGAGTTTTCTTCCTAATATCACGGTTTATTTTAAAAGTTGAGGAAATGTGTCCCAGTTGATGAGGAGTGATGGGGCATCAGCAAGACAAAGACCCCCCCACCACCACCACCAAAAGAAAAGGAAGAGAGGAAGGTTCCTCTCTAATTAGGACGTAATCCAAACTTTTGTAGTCAGAAAAATCTAAAAAGAAGATACTTTCAGTATATATGTAAGTTTTGTGTGATTTTGAAAAATGAAGTTTGGATGTATTTCGGAGTTATCATCATGTTTTTTTCTAGTCCTTGGGGTCTTTGAAGGTCTTAATATGGCCTTGATATGATTAACTGTAAAAAATAAACATCCTCCTTCCCATCCTCTCTCCCTCAATGAAACCGGACTAAGCTAAAGAAGGGTTTTCGCTGCCACTTTCCGCAAGCTCAGGTACGTGGAAGTATTTCTCCCTGGGTCTGCAAACAGCCAGTGCAAGAACTGCTGGAAATCCTCCTAGGAATGGAAGCACCAGGGGCCAGGAGGGATTGGCACTCGTTCTTAAATGTGGCTTTAAAAGTAAGAAGGTATCGTTCTGAAACTCTTCACACACCCATATGTGTGTGCGTGGGCACATATTTCCCCCCCTTTTTGACTTCTGGTGTTTACCTTTGTCCTTCACACTGGCTGTAAGACTTTGACTCCATTTCTCTTTGGATTGAGTGTTTCTGTGCTACAGGGATTCAGTTTTAATAGGAGCTTCCTCTCCCTGATTGGCCATTTGCCTTGTTCCAGGAGACCAGAGGGGTGGCACACGAGCTCTGGGAAATGGCCCATGTCCACTGAAAGATGGTTCTGTCTAGGTAGGCAGGCCATGGTGGGAGTCCAGCCTGCCACCTGGCTCCAAGGTTCAGTTAACCTTACAGCAATAATGGAGAAGTCGTGTCCAGCCGCCAGTGGTCTTAGCGAGGCGACCTTTCAGGCTCCTAGATCTTGCCGTCGTGTTGTAAAACTGCCTGGGTGTGGATGCTTCTCACGGTCACTTCATCCCGGGATCAAGTCCCAGTATGAGACTGTTGAGAAAGTCCTGGTGAATCTGATGAGTTTTCACTAGATCATATGGGTCTTAGCCTTCTTCCTTTCTTGCAGCTTCTCTCTGGGCTCTCGGCATACTAAAAAAAGTCATTCAGGTCCAAGTTTATGACAATGACTTGATACCTTTTTTGTTTCAAAGATTTGAGTTATATTAAGCATTCAGAATATACCCAATGAAAAAAATGTTCATTAAGAAATCATTTCTGGTGCGCCTGGGTGGCTCAGTTGGTTAAGTGTCTGTCTTCGGCTCAGGTCATGATCCCGAGGTCCTGGGATCCAGTCCTACATCAGGCTCCTTGCTCAGAGGGGAGCCTGCTTCTTCCTCTGCCTGCCGTTCCCCCTGCTTGTGCTCTCTCTCTCTCTCTCTCTCTCTCTCTCTCTGACAAATAAATAAATAAAAATCTTTAAAAAAAAATCATTTCTCTTTTCCTGAGGAACGTAGTTGTAAAAGGTACATTGCGAGAAGTATCTTGTTAAAAGTCTGGTTTTCTTTTTGAATACTAGAAAATCTAATTTTATCTTAAAATTTTTTTTAAGATTTATTTATTTGAGAGAGAACATGAGAACGAGCAGGGAGGGGCAGAGGGAGAGAGAATCTCAAGCAGATTCCAAGCTGAGTGCAGAGCCCAACGTGGGGCTTGATCTCATGACCCTGAGATCATGACCTGAGCTGAAAGCAAGAGTCAGACGCTTAACCAACTGTGCCACCCAGGCACCCCTAGAACACCTAATTTTAAAGGCTTATTTGGAATTTTAGTTTATGTAAGGTTCTTTTAGAAATGATAATGTGAATATTTTTACATATGGCAGATAGATTTCATATCATTATATTTTAGGTTTGAGTTTCCAGAATGAAAGATGGGTGGAGATTGTATTAATTTTAAGGTAATATTTAAGCCTTCCAGGATTTTTTTATTCCTAACTTTGATTTTTTTTTTATTAGAAAAAGCAAATTTATATTTAACTTTCTGGGCATGTTTAAATTAAATATTTTGAGAACAGTGAGGATGCTAATATTAAGTGAGTTTACTGGGTTCCTAGTTATCATAAAGCTTAATTAAGTTTTGCATTTGAAATCCAAATATTTTGACACCCCCACCCCCCATTTTAGGAACATTGAAGGCTGCACTCTGATTTTCTTTTTACTTATACAACCATTTATATCATTTATTTAAGTTCTTTTCTAACTATCGGTAGTGAAGGACAAGTTTTAATTTTTAAATTTTCAATCCTTTAAATATCAATACGTTTGTAATACAAATGAATTACTAGGCAAATGAAATTTTAAGAAGACTTACAAATGCAAGTCTAGGTTTGTTTTGTTTTTTTACTATAACAGTATATTTTATATCTGCATTTTAACAGATATAAAATTACTCTGTCAAATTGCTATTAAAGTTTCTAAACGTTCACTCTCAATTTCAATACTGTATCTTCCTTGACTGGTACCTAGCATCTGGTAAAGTGTTACCAGTCCCCAAATCTCCCTTTGCATGGCTTGGGTCTTGTAGCTTCTATGCAAAAAGTGTTTTTGCAGTGTGTGATGATTTTGCTCTGTGTAACTGGAGCTTATTTCACGAGTATAATTTCTTCTTTACATAAAATACCCATATATAAAAACCACATGACTTTTGAAAGAGATAACAAAAGCTTTTTTAGCTCTGCTTTGCACCCCATATGCGGAGTAACTCCTGCCACTGTTCTCCACCATGTAATGCTTAGTTGTTAAGATAGTGTTGTATTTAAAAGGTGGCATAAAATTGAAACCAATGTCTGTAATCTCACTATGTCATATTTGTAAGCAGCAGTTATGATCTAGAAATAGAATTTAGTAATTAAGAATAGCTATTGCTATGGATTGAGCGTTTATGCCCTCCCCCCCAAATTCATATGTTGAAAACCAAAAATGCTTAAGGTGATGGTACTAGGAAGTGGGGGGCTTTAGGAGGGGATTCAGTCATGAGGACAGATGCTTACAAATGGGGTTCGTGCCTTTCTTAAAGAGGCCCTCATCCCTTTCCACCATGTGAGGGCACAAGAGATCACAGTCTGCAGCCTGAAAGAGAGCTTTCCCCAGAACTCCGGCCTCTGGAACTGTGAGAAATACATTTCTATTGTTTATAAGCCACCTACTCTATGGTATTTCTATTATAACAGCCCAGATGGACTAAGACAGCTATGTTTGGAGTGGAAGTATTTAAAAATATGATCAGGGCAAATCTAAGGTAAACTAACCAGTCAAGACGAATAACAACCAGGAAGATACCATCAGTTTTCTTTACAGAAATCACTGCCTTTGGTTTTATGTGGATGGTAAAAATACGTTTTGAAGACATTTGTTTCAAACAAAGAAAACTAACCCCCTTTTTTTTTTCTTTTAATGTCTCAGATCTCCGGCCCATGAAGAAATAGAAGTCTCTGCATTCAGAGGGTGTGAGGCATTATGTTTAACAATATTAGGAATACACTATAGATATTTTACGCTACAACTAAAGTCACAGAGATTATTCCAATTCTTCTTCATCCAAAAAAGAAAAATGAGTGTTTGTTTGAACCTTGTTAGCGTTGTGATGAAGAAGTGTCATTGCAGAAGAAGCCATATACCATTTACTCTGTCGGGCCCTCCTTTTCAGACTATTGATGAAGCAGGTCGTCTTTTTATTCCTGCATATTCATGGAACACATAAAAGGAAATGTAATGGCTTATCATCCAGCTCATTTTTGGATGATGATGTTGAGTGTTCTGTAATGTCATATATTACACATGTAGATGCACATACTGGCTTTTAAAGAGGGAAGAAATCATTTGCTTCTCTGCCACCCTCAACTGTGGTCATTTAGTTTTAAAACTTGTCATTTACCTGTTTGAGTTTATTTTCTACCTGTAGAACGGAAAACTGTTGCTTATTAAGAAAGAGGTAAATGTATGATGGCAGGGAAGTGGTAGGCTTTGTGACTGATGTTATTGTGATTTTGTCGCTGTCATTGTCATCCGTTTATTCCAAAACATTTATTTTTTATGAAAGTTTTTATCAATACTTGGATGTGGTAACAAATCAGTAGTGTTGTTAAAAACAAGAGTTAGCCCATCCATCTCCAGAAACAACCTCTTTTAATCATTCTTGGCTAGTTCTTTTACATGTTTCCTCTATTATCACTAAAAATTATGAAGATAATTCTAGTTAACATATTTATACACCTAGACAATATGTTTATACATTAATTACTAGAAATTATGGAGGTAATCCTACATAATATGCTTATATATCTGTTTCTAAACTTTTCACCTTGAGATAATTTCACTAATATAAAAGATTTAGCTAACTTATATTAACTTCTTTCTTCCTCTTTTTAAATCTCTGATATCTATATTTCAGATTATGGCTTATGTTAATTTTTGGCTATTGTATTTGTTTCCATCATAGGAGCTGGGGGTAAGAATTATTTTCCCTTAGAAGAGCTTTGCAATTGCCTTTGACCACTTCCTCCCTGTTTTCTCTGCTTCTCTTCCTGGAACTTACGTTGGTCACAGGTTGCACCACAAAATTTATTGATTATCTTCTTTCTGCCAGGCACTGTGACACTTTAGAAGTCAATAGGAACTAGGCATGCCTGGGTAATACTTGCCCTTGAGAACTGCATCCATTCCTAACTTTTTGTATAGATTCAGGATCAAAAACACTTTTTTTTTTTTTAAGTATGGAACCCAGAAGAAACATACATAGGGCTTTATTTACAAGTTTTCTTATTGATCCTTATCTTTTACCTATTCACTTTTATTACTCTGTTTATACTTAATAATTTTTAGGTACCTTTAGATCTTTCTGGTAAAGACAAGTAGATGATTTTTTTTTTTTTTTTTACTTTAGCAGCACTACTGAGCCTGAAATTTAGACTGGCCGTCTGAATAATTCAACATGTCTCTGAAAGAAAAATATTCTGGGCATCACTTAGAAACCAATTTTGCCTTAAAAAAGAACAAACCACTTTATTGGCAGAATCAAAGGAAGACACAAACAATTAGGCCTGCAGAAGGCCAGATAATAGGACAGCTCTGGTAATTTCTGTGGTAGGAATGAATAGGCAGTCCATTTAGAGTGCTGACATCAGAATGATTCTCCTCTAAACTTTTTACTATGATACTCTGTTTAATATTCAGTTTGCTAGAAGAGTGTTTAAGAGCTAAACATTGGTGTTTAGCTTGCTTCACCAGCTCACTTTCTGGGAAATGATGGGACCTTAATTGGCAGTTTTACAGTAAGCACAAAGAATAGTGGATGGGCAGTTCCCAGAAAACAGAGTTTGATCATGAAAAAAATGGACAGACACAAAGAGCAAGCGTCCCCTAGATTTTGTGCCGATGGGCCAATGCTCAATTCTAATCCACTGGGTCCTTTCTCGTCCTAGTGCTGCCGCCTGTCCTCGTGCCAAGGCACAGTGAATATAACCCCCAGCTCAGCCTTCTGGCCAAGTTCCGCAGCGCCTCCCTCCACAGTGAGCCTCTCATGCCGCACAACGCCACCTATCCGGACTCTTTCCAGCAGCCTCCGTGCTCTGCCTTCCCTCCCTCGCCCGGGCCCGGGCACGTGTTCTCACAGTCCCCATGCACCGCTGGCTACCCTCACTCCCCAGGAAGCCCCTCGGAGCCAGAGAGCCCCTATCAACACTCAGGTCAGTAAAAGCCACTGTCCGTGCACATGGAGTATGAGCCAACACGATCAATTATGGTGGGACCATCATAATTACAGCCACTCTTAGATTCATATGGAGCTTTGCCGTTTACATGGCCATGTCCTGTGGGCCTTCAGACCCTGCCCTCCTCTAAGATCAGGGCCATTTGGGAGCAGCTATTCTGGAGCTACAGCATATCTTTGCTCTGGTTTCTGGTTCTCATTCTCTGGAAGAAGCTAAATGGATTTGAACAGCATCTCTGGGAATTTCCAGGGATTTTTCTTTTTTTTTTTTAAGGTAGCAGAAATAAGATTATAAAATACTTCTCTAACCCAAGCAAGAAGACTTGGCCTGAGGGCAAGCAATGTGAGGGGTCCTTGCTTGGCCTTTCTTCTGGCTGTCTCTTTGAATAACCACAGGAAGTCCCTGCCTCCAAAAGAAGTATGCATAACTTCCCTGGGGCAGAGTCAGGCCTCACCTAGCCAGTGCATCCTGAAGATGGAGCTCTTCAGTAAACGTTTGCTGAGCTGAAAAAGCCTTTGGAAGGGAAATTCTGTGCCAAAGGGAGAATCAAGAACATTGTCACAGTTCGTTCCACGTGCTGCCACACCTGTAAAGTGGGTCTAAGTTAGATCATGAAGAAGAGATTTATATGCACCTCAGGAGTGTGAGATAAATCATATCCTGAGTGACAAAGTCTCAGAGGCATGCATAAACTCATTTGGTGCTAGATGTTACAAGGTGCCTCATTCATGTGTTCATATATTCCTTTATTTAACAGATATTTATGGAACGTTTATTATACACAAGCATTGCCTTAGGGAGCTGAAAGGAGGATTAAAAGATTGGTAAAAATTGTCCCTGTCCTCACAGAACTTATAAAATGTGGGAAGATAAAAAAGGAGTGGCCCCTTCCTTTCTTAGTCAGTTCTTTTGCCCCCTCAGTGATACACCTACTATTTTCATACACATCTACTATTGCATTTATCACACTACGTTAGATAATTCCTCATTGTATATCTCCCCCATTCAACTGCCAGTCATCTTCTCTTTTATATGTGTAGCACAGACCCTGAAACACAGTAGTTGCTCATCAGTTGATTGCCGAGTAAGTGGATCACCACACTGGCATTTGGAACTGGGCTAGAGCTCAGGGTTATAGCTATTGATGTTACTGAGTCAGTAAGTAATGACTGACTGAGCACCTGCTAAGTGCCAGGCACTGTGCTACTGCAAGAGGTACAATGATGGTTGATTCTGACAATAGTCTCTGACCTTCAAGAGGTAATAACTCTTGAGAACAATCATGTAAGTAAGCGACGAGGCTGTCGCAGTCCAGGCAGGTAATGATAAGGACTTAAACTGAGGAAGGGATGTGGGGATGGAAAGAAGACAATGAGTTTGAGGAGGTAGACTCAACAGAACTTGATGCGGGGGTGAAGGCTGAGACTCTGGGAGAAAGCTCAGGAGTCATCCACACAGAGGAGGGGGAGATGGTTGCTGTCTTACAAGGGGCCGGATTCACCGAGAAAGGGACACAACAGGAAGAGAAGTCATTTGAAGACAGAGCCATGGTTAAGGGACAGGAGTATAATCATGTCACAGAATACGTATTTACTTGAAACATACCTGTGCTATAAAGATCACCCTACTGACCTTGTCTTCCTGCACTGGTGAAACTAACAGGTTGATATCGTTCCCTCTTCCCACCCATGAAGGATGGACCCCAACACCTATGCGGAAGCTGGTTAGTTTTCATGGAGGGAATGGCTCTTTTAATTTCAAAGAAAATAATTCTTTTCTGAACGATTAGCCGCAAAATGCAACCTGAGTAACAGACCCTTGGATAAGTGAGACTAAAAGGAGATTCTGAAATTAACTGGTTCAGCCCCTTAATTTTTTTTACCAGTTTTATTGAGATATAATTCATACGTCATACAGCGCACACACTTAAAGTGTGCAACGTGGTGGTTTTCATATATTAATTTTTAAAGTTGTGGTAAGATATATATCACATAAAATTTGCCATTTTAACCATTTTAAGTGTACAATCCAGTGGCATTAAGGACATTCACAGTTCTGTGCAACCATCCCCACCATCTATTTGCAAAATTTTTTCACCCACCTAAACAGAAACTCTGTACCCATTAGCAGTGGCTCCCAATTCTCCCCCACCCCCCTCCTCCAGCCCCTGGCAACCTCCAGTCCACTTATTGTCTCGATGAATTTGCTTATTCTAGGTACCTCAAAGTGGAATCATACAATATATGTCTTTTTGTGTCTGGCTTATTTCAGTTAGCATAATGTTTTCATAGTTCAACTATGTTGTTAGCCTGTGTTATTTACTTCATTTTTGTGATTGAACAATATTCCGTTATATAGATATACCACATTTAAAAAAATCCATTCGTTGGTTGATGGAGATTGGGGTTATTTCCACCTTTTCGCTAGTGTGGATAATGCTGCTATAAACACTGGCATGCAAGCATCTGCTTTAGTCCCTGCTTTCAGCTCCTTTGGGCATGTGCCTAGGAGCAGATATGGTGATATGGTAACTCTGTGTTCAAACCCTGAGTTTTATAGATAGACTTACTCAAGGACCTGCAGAAGAGCCACCTTGCTCTATACCTTTTCCACCAGGCTCATAGTTTATTTTCTCACAAGGAAATGCCTATCCATGGTTGCACAATGTGGTGTGCTTTAGAATTGCCAGCAGTGCCTGGTAAATGTACATGGCTACATCCAACAATTGATCTCCAGACTCAGAATTTCTGAGGGTGGGACCAGGAATCTGCATCTTTAACAAGTTTCACGGGTGATTTTTATGCACACTTAAGTGTGGGAACTACTTGGATGGACAAAATTCAGTTCAACAAAAGCAGACTGATTCAACTTTTCATGCCACTGAATTCCACCCACCGCTAACGTAACAAGTCGATTCTGAACTGACATTAGGAATGTATACAGGAAGGCTCAGTTATTCTGAGGTTCTCACTAAAGAGTTTTCCCTCTGCTGCAGGAGTTTTTATTGTGTTGTGAATTACTTTCTGATACGAAATTATCTACTGAATGCACAGCATTTGCCTAACCATGATCACTGTCCAATTACAGGAACTGATATTTGGGGAGGGGAGCCCTTCTCCGCATGCTTTGGGCACAAGGTTATAATCAGGTTTCAGCTGTTGTGCATTTTGGGGGTGTATTTGCAACAATCTCAGAGACAGTGCATCCCTGTGGCCATTGTACAATCCATGACAATAGAGGAATTAAAAAAACTAAGCTCAAAGAAGGTTTAGCTTTCTGTTTTGAAAGCCAGACAATAGACCCTGCACTATTGAGAAAGCTAGGAGAATAGCTCCTCGATTTGAAGATCTTATCATGCAGTCATTGGAACTTAAAACTCTTAGATAACTTCCAAGTCAGAGGGAAAACTAATCAACCGTTTAGTGAGGATGTCAGGACAATCGATTGCTTCTGTGTGACACTCACAATGTCACCGCGGAGTAGCCTTATGACATGACTGGCCTCTCTCGAGCAATAACACTATGCACCAAGCCCAGGAGTTTCACAGCAAGAAAGGTTGGATCTGACTGTCTTTGTGTAGTGTATCAGTTTGACATGCTTCTGTTTTACTGCTTTCTTTTAGTTGACACACCACCCCCGCCTTATCATGCCACAGGAGCCCCAGGGACCCAGAATGGCCGACCCGTAGATGCCACAGCTGATAGTCATTTAGTGCTGTCAGTGCCTAATGGAGGTAAATTTGTAGACGAACAGCTCAATGTAGCTGTTTTCCAAGAGCCTTTCCTATTACCCCAAAACAAAACAAATTAAAAAAAAAAAAAATGTGCTAGCCTGCTATTTCACATGTCTTTGAAGGGGCAGATAGCATGGCTTTGCATTTTAACTTTGGCATTCCTCAGCACCATAGAGTGAATGTTTGTTTATCATCCTGGTTACTAGAATAAGTTAATTTTTTATTCTAACTTAACATTTAGACGTTTGTAGTTCTTTTTTTTTTTTTAAGATTTTATTTATTTATTTGACAGAGAGAGACACAGCGAGAGAGGGAACACAAGCAGGGGGAATGGGAGAGGGAGAAGCAGGCTTCCCGCCGAGCAGGGAGCCCGGTGCGGGGCTCCATCCCAGGACCCTGGGATCATGACCTGAGCCGAAGGCAGACGCTTAACGACTGACTGAGCCACCCAGGCGCTCCTAGACGTTTGTAGTTCTTGATGTTTAGTACAGAAATGGGTTTTTAAGTTAGCAATGTTGTCCCAATTGTGTTTATACTATAGTTTTGTAGTGGTGTCTTTGATTTAGCTTAGAGGGGTGCTCTTAGAAATATACATAAATATGTAGATAGGGTTTTTACAGAATTGTGTCTGTTTCTTAAAATAGGCTAGGTAAATAAATGTTGCTCAGTCTTAATGTTCATAGAAACCACAGGGTGATCTTAGGCAAATGGAGATTTTGAGTCCTTAGATCTGGGGTGGGATCCAAGAATCTGCATTCCTCACAAGCTCCCAGGTGAGGCAGAGCCGTTCAGGAACCACACTGAGTAGAGAGGGTCTAACGGAGCTTACGATTTCAAGTCTGCCGGGGTGAAGTCTTTTATAAGTAAAGGTCCTTTGGTAAATCAAATAATAACCCCTAAATTTATCTTTCATAAATTTGTGTTTTAGTGCACATAGGAACACACTGTAGATACAAAAATTACTAGAATATTCAAAGAAAAGAGAGCTAATATAATCAGTCAAAAGACAGAGAAAGAATGTGGGTGGCAAAGAAAGAACTCTGAACTTTGGTTAGTTACTGGCAACTTACTTAGCTTTGAAAACATAATGTTCATGGATTTCCTAATGAAACATACAGCTGTCTTTAAAATATTTTATGACATATAAGTACTCCATATGTATACAGTGGAGAATGTGACTCTATGTGGAAGTTTTTTTTTTCTTTCTTAAATAATTTAAAGTCCTGTCCAGTGTTTTTGATTTGGCTTTCATCATATCCAAACTATTACTTTTCATCCTTAGTTTGTTAGAAAATGATGCTCTTGTCACCGGGACTCCGTTTGGTCCAGTGACAGTAATACCCTCTCTTTCGTATGTAGAGAGCACACCTGCCCCCTTCCTTGGAGCTGTCTCCTCTCGGGGTGATGGGATTTACACTGATCTGTTCGTAGCGTTGTTTGTCAGAGCCTCCCAATATTAATGAGTATGAGTACAAATGCTCTAACCGTGGGAGAGTCACAGGTATTGGGGCCTCTGTGCCTCACATGTGGTGACCAGATGAGCTCACCACACAGATCTTCCATCAAGTGACAGGTTTGGAAAGATCACGAAGAACATCCTCGTCTCGCAGCCACCTCTCCTGGTTAACAGCATGAATGTAAGTGTCCAGGTGGGATCATGAGATGGGAAGCCGGGCATAACGGGAGTGATGTGCTCTCTGGTTCTTTTTCTTCCAGACTTTCGGCCAGTTTGCTATGAGGAGCCGCAACACTGGTGCTCAGTCGCCTACTATGAACTCAACAACCGAGTTGGGGAGACGTTCCAGGCCTCCTCCAGAAGCGTGCTTATCGATGGATTCACAGACCCTTCAAATAACAGGAATCGATTCTGTCTTGGACTTCTTTCTAATGTAAACAGAAACTCAACAATAGAAAACACCAGGAGACACATTGGAAAGGGTAAAGGCAAATATGTCATTCCTTTCTGTGTTCTTCGGAGCTAAAATGTGGGGAGAGAAACAAGCCCCGTATTGGCCACGTAACCTGGCAGGCTGGTGGCAGGCTGGTGAGCCGGCAGAAGGTACCGAGGTTTGCAGCCTCGTGGTCTCTCTGCTTCTAGGGTCAGCAAAGCATCTTTTGGAGGGTGGCATAGGATAAGTATTATGAAGACAAACAAGAGGATAAATATGAAAGCATGATGAAATTATTAAATAAAAGTATCATGAATTATATTCGAATTGCCTTAAAGATGCTTAAGTAAGAAAACTTCAGAGGAGGAATTCTGGCGGGGTGATTATACATATCAGGTAAAGTACCTTTGGAGATTAGAAGCTAGGTAGTGAAAATCATGACTATTTATGTAGGGAAACCTTTGGTAGCAATTGGGGTTCTCCCGTGGTCAGGCTTGTTAGGAAGCCAGATGGACACAGGCCTCCCTGAGGTCTGGCCAATGAAGCTTTGAAGTCTGTCTCATCGGTGTGATCAATGGTAGCAAATCCCAGCTGAGTGTGAGGTCTCATTGTGTATCTTTAAATCATCTTCTTTATATTAGAGTAGCTGGTAGTGTTCGATACCTGGTTGTCCACTATTATGTCAGACTACCGTGGAATCAAGTTATACAGGACCTTTAGAGTCATTTTATCTTTTCTCTCTCCATCCAGCCCTCAGACCACCTCGGGAAGGTAGACACAAATCTTTTCTTTTAGATTTCCAGGGGAGATTCATTATTGTACTTGGTGATACATTCTAATATTCTTCCTAACATACCTCCTAAATGCCTCCTGTTGTAGAAAACCTATAAGCCATTGATTAGAAACAGGTTGAATTTATTCACTGATGTTCTAGTGGTGATATTTGTTTATTTATAGCCTGTATTTTTCCGTAATGGCTTTGAGGTGCCTTATGGGAAACCTTTGCAGTGAAATGATAAATGAAAAATAGAAAATCAGAAACTGGGGGCTGGGGGCAGCAGGGAAGGAGAACACAACTAAAGGTTAGCATTGTGGTTGTGATTAAAATTGTGCCCTCGGTTTCCTGACAGGGAGGACAAAAAGTGGAAACACAACTGTAATGTAATTTTTATCCCAAAGGAGGAAACGTAGCCATTCTTTAAAGGAAATAATACTTTCCCTTTGACTGAATTCTTAAATAAATTTCTCAGTTCCTATAGTTTTACTTTCAAATGATTTTTATAAGAATCTTCAGGTGAAATCTAAAGGCAGAACATTAAAACATAATATTGTGGGTCTGTGGGCTGAGGGGCTTTCCAGGTTGGTCTGTGTATGAGACTTCTGCTGCCACTTGGTCCAAAGATAGAATTCAAACGTGAAAGGAGTGTTGAATGCCTTCTGCAAATCTTTCTGCAAGTAGCTCGTTGAAGGTTCTGCTGATGCGGACATGGGAGCTGAGGTTCTGCGTGTTACTGGCTGAGAGCTAATCCCCGAGTTAAGAAACCATAGGAACAAGAGCTAGGACTGACGGCTTCTTATGAAAACCAGGAGGTCCACCTAAGTGCTCACTGGATGGAAGGGCACTCCGCCCTCTTGTGGTCCCCACTGCCAAGTCCCTATTCTCAGAAAGCAGTTTTGGAAGTGCTTTACTGAGAAAAAAAGTTAGAGGAGCTATAAGCCATGCCATAGAGCATGGGGAAAAAATCGGCTTAGAATACTTATAAAGGAAGAACTATCAGTCTCTTATGAGGTCAGGGGACTGTTTCTAGGGTGCTCCCTTGGATTATTTGGTTCTGAGCAGCATGGCTTCCTGAATAAGTTTGTAGCAAAATGCCTCCTAGATCAGTGAATAAGTTAACTTGTTCTTTGGAGTTAATTAATCAAGACACTTAGATTTTGGAGCTAGGCATTCATCTCACAAATCTTTGTTGAGCGTCTATTCTTAGCCAGACTGTCCCACCATTAGGGATGAAACATTAGGGATGTTTCCTTGGAAACAAAGAAACAAAACAAAAACAAAAACAAAAATCTGGCCTTCATGGGTTACACATAACTAAGGAAAGATAGAGAAGGAAAAATGTTATATATGTCTAAGGATTCGTCTAGAGGAAAACACAGGAGAGGAAGAGATTGAGGAGAGCTTGTTCTAAAGTAGAATGGGATAGCCAGGGAAGGCTTTCCTGACAAGGTGACATTTAAGCAGAAAGGGAAAGAGGGAAATAGCCACATGGAGGGGGAGCTTCCGAAGCAGAGGGAGCAGCAGGTGCAAAGGCCCTGAGGCCTGCCTGGTATATACCTTGTAAGAAGAGCAGGGAAGCCAGGGTGAGTGGAATACAATGGGTAAGGAATTGGGGAAGTTGTAGAAGAGGAGGGGGTAGGACCAGGTCACAAGAGTTTACAGATCTGAATTTTTACTTTAAAAGGATTCCCTTTTAAAGCTAGTACAGTAAAATTAAACTGTTTAGTGGGGGAAGGGTGAAAGGTTTAAAAACACACACGAAAGAGAAAACTGAAAGGTTCTGTAACAAATGTTAGCTTTGATTATTTCTGGGCTGTGACTTTGTGGCTGAGTTTTAATCTCTGCATCTCTGTATTTTCTCAGTCGTCTCTCCTGGGCTTTCTTGCTCATGTGAGGATGGGCGGGGGTGGGCCGTGGCCTGTCAGGGCAGGCCAGGATAGCTGCAGCGGTGCTGAGAAGCCCCTCCGTGCAGCCCAGCCCAGCAGAGCGGCTGCGTGTGAGTACTGAGGTGGGCCACTCCATGGAGTTCAGCTGGGCCCCAGCCTGTTCGCTCATCATATTGTCCAAAGAGACAAAGTTTTCAGGTTCAGATTTGGGGGACTGACCTTGCCTCCAGCCTAGCGATGGCTTTGTATGAATTACGGAGAGCCTCTTTCTCTAGAGAAGTTACTGCCATCTTCTGGAGAAGCTTTATAATGATGACAGAAATCCTGGAAGGCTATGAGGGACTCCTTGGAGTTGTGCAGTGCACAACAGCGGGCATCGTTCTACCAAGGGCCTGTCCTCTGAACCAAAGCCCTGGCATGGATCTGGAAATCTGCGCTTTTATATTATTACTTTTCTCATCATACATTAAAACATTTTTTATTTTGGAAAATGTCAAACATATACAGAAGTGGACAGAATCGTGTAATGAATATTCATATCACCCTCTCCAGCTTCAGTAATGATTCACATTCTGTGCATTCTTAGCCTCTATCTCTCCACAGTATTTTTGTGAGAGTATTTTAAAGTAAATCTCAGATTTCATATCCTTTCTTCATAGATTTGAGTGTTTATATATTTATATAAGGGATTTCTAAATAAAAGTACCATTATTACACCCAGAAATGGGCACTTTCTTAAAGCTCTGAATGATCCTGATATTCAGCCAGGTTTTTAAAATGGTGTGCAGAAGACAGGGCAACAAAGGCAAGGGGGAGATCGATTACAAACTCATGATAAGGTGTTGAGTTTGTGCCAGGAAGTTTGGGATTATTCTAAGGGGAATGATGAGGCACCAGAGTCTGAGCGGGGTGATGGGGTAATGAGACTTACGTTCTTTGCTGGTATTTGTCCCTTCCTCCCAGTCAGCATTCCTTCCACTCTGGGACTCTGACTTTCTCTTTCTTCTGTTACCTCAGAACCATCTCACCAGCCGAAGCAACCCACCTTCCTCCCAGTCTTTCCTGTAATTTCTCTGTCATTCAAGACTATGGAAGAGGACCCAAAGGGAACACACTTGCAGTCTGACTTAGCAGACCCAAATCAGAACCACAGTGGCTCTGGCCCTAAGTAACCACAACACAGGACTCCACACTCCCTCATCTTATAGAACGCGGGCGGCAGTCACACACAAATGGGAAGCCTGGGTAGAGAGGGATGCAGCCCAAGAGATGTTGGGAGAGTTTGCCTGAGGACCATGCTGCCCGGGTCCTCTTTGGCATCTCAGGAAGGGCAATATCCTATTGTTCACTGTTCTCTATGGAGATTTTGAATCTAAAATACAAGTCGTTTAAAGCCACTGTTTTGGCTTATCACGTGGGTGCAAATAAAATCATCTGCCTATTTGACTTTTTAATTTTAAGACTTTATTTATTTATTTTTTTGAGAGAGAGAGCATGAGAGGGGGTAGGGTCAGGGGGAGGAGCAGACTCCCTGCTGATCAGGGAGCCCAACATGAGACTCGATCTTGGGACTCCAGGATCATGACCTGAGCTGAAGGCAGTCGCTTAACCGACTGAGCCACCCAGGCGCCCTTGACTTTTATTTAGATGCCACTGTCTCTAGCCAAAGCAGCCTCCTTCACAGTGGGGTTGAATTCCACCCTTGTCCTGCCCTTCAGAGCCGACTTAGGCCTCCATGTGCTCATCCCATTGGCTCTGCCCCCTCTGTTTGCTCAGGACACTAAACTCCTGCCTGTCTGCCCAGGCTCTTCTCTGCTTTCCTTATTCTGTCTGTGGTTGCGGATAATACTTTCACAGGATTGAAGATCATCCCCTAATAGTTATTGACCAGAGTCAGATAACAAAAATCCTATCGATTCAAATTAGGTTCTGGGAGGATTGTAAATTTGAAGGTCCTTTAATTCAAATACATCCTGAGTCCTGAACACTGGGCCATCTCATTCTCTGGCTCTTTCCACCCCTGCTCACCCACTTTTTGAACAACCATAACCACCGCAGGGGCAGGCCTTCCCCGCCCCCTCACCCGGGGACCTCACGGGGACTGGGAGAGGAGGTCTGCTTGTGTTTGCCCCAGCCTCCCCTCCAGTGGGTCAGTGCAGCCGGGTAGCCATGTCCCAGTCGGTGAGGAGCATCCCGCCTGGACTGAGCATCCAGTGCTGTGCTTCAACTCTGTGACTCCTGACCAGTCTCCAGTGACGTGGCTGGAATACGCAACGCTGAAAACCATTCTTTTCTAAAATTCTATTAAGGGAAAGGAGATGGGAAACGGAAACAATAAATACGCTGGGAGGCAGTCACAGCTAATGCACCATCGCCTCGGGTGCTCCTGAGAACCTGACAGGGGCAGCCAGCAGCTGGCGCTCTCAGGGAGGTTTCCTAAATGCAAGGCTATGCAGAAGCCCCCAGAGGTCTATAAATTCTATTATTTAAAAATGGGTATTTTCAGTTTGAGGGGACCCAAAATCTATCTGTCTACGTGTATTCTGGATCCTTTCTATGAACCCCTTGTGACCGCATGGCGATTGTATTTACAATCACGTTGACCCCTAATGCTGGAGAATTTGGTTTCTGCTGAAAGGCTGGAGGAAACCTGTGCTGAGATTTAATGTTCACTAGACTAGAACATCTTTGTTTTATCTAACCCCAGTCCCTTAAGGCTATAAATGTATGTTAAGTCTTAAACCCAGACACTTGGAGGGAGAGAGTCAGCTCAGGTTTAACCTGGAATGAAAATTAGTGTGCACAGCACCAATCTCAGGATGGTGTTTTGCTTCTTAAGTCCAAAAATGTGAGGTAAAGTTAAAATAAGCGACATTTTGATGGTGAGTCTTTTTATCTGAAAAGGTGGCAAGAATTTCGTTGTTCCTAAGTAAAATACAGGCATTATTTCTGTGATCTATAATAGCAGGTGACAAGTTCTAAAATGAAATAGATCTCTTTGAGGTATTTATTAAGACAAACGGGTTCGTAACTGTTGTTGGAATAAAGTGTAAACTTCATTTATTGTTTCCTCTGAAGTGGGTTTAGTGTATGCACGTCAGTGACATTTCCACGATACTATCTGTGCCCAATTTCTATTTTACTGTTGATACATGGACCCAAAGGACTCTGTGATGTTTTCTGCATTATGTATTTATTTTGCCTCTAATATGATGAGCGCTTACTTTTGGAGTGAATAAGCATGAGATCGAGAGTGACAGAAGGGGCAGTACACGAGAGGCTCGGCAATCATTGTAAACATGGGGTGCAATCCACTTTTAAATGGACTCATGGAAAAAAAAAACCACAGAGTATCATCAGAACAAGTGGGCATTTCGATCACACTTCTTACTATGGCTGGTGATATTAAAATTAATTCAAAATTCATAATTATAAAGTTATAAAGGCATAAACAGATTGGGATAGAAATTAATTTCACAGTAGATAGTCACAGACCTTGAGGTGGCAATGAGAAGGGAATCCTAAACTAAACACGCCGCTGGTGCTTGAGCGACGCTGTGTTTACCTCGTAGGTGTGCATTTATACTACGTCGGGGGTGAGGTGTACGCCGAGTGTGTGAGCGACAGCAGCATTTTTGTACAGAGCCGGAACTGCAACTATCAGCACGGCTTCCACCCGGCCACCGTCTGCAAGATCCCTAGCGGCTGCAGTCTCAAGATCTTCAACAACCAGCTCTTTGCTCAGCTGCTGGCTCAGTCGGTTCACCACGGATTTGAAGTCGTATATGAGTTGACTAAGATGTGCACTATCCGCATGAGCTTTGTTAAGGTGAGGCGTGCTTGCTTTCAGAGAGTAAGCTGGAAGGTGAAAAACAAAATAAAACAACCCCCAGAGCATTCTTTGGGTGCTGTGGCAGCTATTCCTCCAGTTCAAGTAGGCAACCGGGTTTTTGTTGTTGTTGTTTTGGGGGGGTTTCTCTTGGAACTTGGCTCCGTTGTTTCCAAGAAGAGCTCCTCTAGGAGTATCAACTCTCTTGTTTAGCAGTTACAAGGAAATTCTTAAGCGTTTTACTTTTGAAGAAAGAACAAGTTAAGGTAGTAATCTGGTTTTTTTTTCATGCAGATGAAGTGACAATGATAATTTTATAGGATTTGATGCCACAGAGGGTTTTATTTTTTTCATCTCTCAAATTCCTGAGCACTGCTGTCTCTCGATAAATGTTGTTGAATGTATCTGCATTGAATACAACATTGCCCTTACTCTTAGCATACAGGCCAACAGAGGAGATCATATTTATAAATAAGCTACAGAATAGACAGTGGTGGTGTACATCAGTGTCATTAAGTGCTGTTATTAAGGCATAAATAACTTGGGATAGAAATATTATGTTGGGTATGATTAACTCTGAGCGAGTAGTAGATGTTCCTTTTATGAATATTTATTGAATTTCTTGAATTAGATCTTACTAACGTTGATGTGAAGGTTTCGGAGAACTGAGGAAGTTAGTGGGAAGGAAAACCAACTGGATTTGCACGCTGAAGTCTTTGGCGGTTCCATCTCTTGCAAAGCACTTGCAAATAATTCTGATAATTCAAAATCTGAGCTTGTTTATCAAACTCTGGGGTCTGTGTGACCGTTTTCACACTGCTGCATATCCATCCAAGAAATCAGTATGGCTTGTTCCAGGTTTTTTTCAAAGTAAAATTTATTAATTCTTTAAGATTACCATGAGAAAGAATTGTCCTATTTTTCTATACTCTAATTTTTATTGTATTTATAATTTTAGTAAATATTTTAAAAATAACATCAAGAATATAGTTTCCAATTAAAAATGGCTTTTTGAAACCATTTCTTTCATGATGACAAAGCAAACTTACTGCTAAGCTTTAAAAGCATTTTTATATTGTAAAGCTATTAGCAAATACCTGGAAATCTTTCCAAATGTTCTGATGCTTTGTAGCCAGCAGAGGGCATTAAATTGCCGTTAAAGAAAAATCATTTGACTCATAGTTATTTTTTCCAGGTCCATGTTTTTAAATTAGGATGAAATGCCAGTATGTCAGAGGTAATTATTTCACTCACATAAGCTTGCATGGACATCTGATTATCCTAAGATCAGCTAGAGCTATTTCATAAAGCTATACAATTCACAGAAAACAGTAACATTGCAAATATCACAACAGACAATCAGTTTAAAAGAAATTTAAAAGTTCTCATCATGGGGAAAAAAATGTGTAAGTATGTGAGGGGATGGATGTTAACTAAATGCATTGTGATCATCTTGCGTATATCCAGTCATTACGTGTACACCTAAAACGTACACAGTATATATCAATTATATCTCAACAAAACCGGGGCAGGGGGGGAAGACAGTACATATAAAAATAATGTAAAATATCTCATTAGTAATTTCATATCAATTATGTATTGATAGGATAATATTTTAGATAGATCGAATTGAATAAAACACATTATTAAAATTTAAAAAAGAGAAATTATAGGACTAAAGACTGGTGGCTACCACTGAGAGGTGATGGACTGGATCATCTTTGAAGCATCTTTTATCTTTGATTTTTTCCTGATTCCAGGACTCAGTCGGTCAGTCAATAAGATATTACTGAGTGCCTACTATGGAGCACACCAGGTGCCATTCTAGGTATTAGGATCCATCAGTGATTCCTCAAGGTCTCTGCCCTCATGGACTCAATATTCCAGTAAGCAGAGACAGGGACTAAACAACAGCTCTAATAAAGAATGTGAATGGAAAGAGAAATGTAGAGCAGGATATGGGGAATTGGAGTGCTGGCGTAGGGGTAGGTTGCAAGTTTTAAAAAGATGGGTATGGTGGGCCCCCGTGGGGACTTGAAGGCGACGAGGGAGTTAAGTCATAAGGGTATGTGGAGGGAAAGCAGCAGACACGGAGGAAGGTTAAACCATACTGCAAGAGCTTACCCCCTGGCATTTGTAGGAGCGGGGAGGCCAGGGTGCCGGAGTCAGGAGCATGAGTCAGGGAGCCGGGGGTGGAGGTGGGGGGATGAGATCCACTGCAAGGATTTCAGCTTTTACTCTAACAAGATGGGGAGCCCCTGAAAGGATTTGAGCCGAGAATTTCATAATCGGACTTGTATTTTTAAAGGATCACTATAGCTGCTATGTGGGTTGCAGATACTCTGCAGGCAAGGATGGAAGCCTTTGAGACCAGCTTGGAGGCCATTGCAGTATTCAGATGAGAGTTGAAGTTTGCGCCCAGTAGGAGGAGCATCCTCATAGAAGGTGTAAGAAGGGGAAGGATTCTGAGTTGCACAGGTGGATTCCATGGGGGGGGGGTGGTAAGTGAAAGGAGGAGTTAGAGAGATGAAGTTGCCTCCACCCGGGAGGGAGAAGATACAGGTGGGTAAGGTGTAGATAGAAGATTAAGATTTCAGTTTTAGTGAGAATAACTCTGTGGTGTTTGACACGCATCCACGCGGAGATGCTGAGCAGACAGTTAGATGTACGAGTCTGGATTTAATGAGAGAGGGCTGGGCTGGAGATTCAGTTGAGGAATTGTAAGCGTTTGCACAGTACTTATCCATGAGCCTGGATGGAGTTGCCAATACTGTGAGTTTAACAGAGAAGATCAGGGCTTCTAGGACGGAGCCCTAGGACACTTCAACCTTAGAAGATAGGGGGAAAGAGAAAGAACCAGAAAAGAAAACTGAGAAAGAGTAACCAATGTCGTAGTAAAACTAAGTAAAAAGTAAGTTGCTCTTTAAACCAAAAGAAGAAAGTATGTTGAGGAGGAGAGGGGACGAACTGGATCACGTACTGCCTAAGGAACAGGAAGACTGGGAACTGATCATTAATTTTAGCATGTAGAGGACCTTTTTGATCTTAGCAGGAATAGTTTCACTGAAGGCTGGGGTTTAAATGCTGATCAGAATGGAATTAAGAGAGAATGGAAGGAGAGGAATTGTCCATACAGCCAGTACAGACAACTCATTTGAGGGTTTTTGCTAGAAAGGGGGTCAAAAATTTGGGCAGTAAGTGGTGGGAGTGGTAGGGCCAAGTGAAGTGTTTTGAAGATGGGAGATATTTCAGCATGTTCCTATGTTGATGGGAATGATCCAGCAGAAAACAAAATATTGCAGGAGACAATGGGAAGGTTTGCTGGAATGATGTCCTTGGGAAGGCAGTAGAGCCTTATGAACAACTGGATGGACTGGCTTATTTGGAAGATGGATAATTAATCTGTGGTGAGAAGTAGAAAGGCTGAGTATGTTGGCGCAGGTGCTGTGGAAACTCTTCTGATTGCTTCATGTCTCGTTAAAATAAGATGAAAATTGAGAGGAAGCCAAACCATAAGTGATGCTGAACTCTGAACAAACTGAGGGTTGCTGGAGGGGAGGTGGGGCGAGGGGGAGGGATGAGGTAACTGGGCGGTGGGCATTAAGGAGGGCCCTTGATGGAATGAGCACTGGGCGTTATATGCAACTGATGATGAACCACTAAATTTTACCCCTGAAACTAATAACACAGTATATGTTAACTAAATTGAATTTAAATAAGTATTTTTTTTTAAAAAAGGTTATCATTCGCAACCAGACTGGGGAGTAGGTGTTAGCCGTTTTAGGGAACAGAAGCAGGAGTGAGCAGTCATTTGGGGTGTGGGGGGGTAGTGGGAGAGCACAGGGACCGGGAGAGTGTCATTCGATTGCAGGTAGCATCAGAGACGCACTTGAGGCTTGTGGTCACGACTGTAAAGTGTGATCAGGCAGCGTGGTTGTGTTGAAATCCAGTTTTTTAAGAACTACAGATAATCACTGTTCCCAATAACAGCGATGTGTTATGTCTCTTCATTTTCTAAAAATTACTTGTCGCTGCTGTATAACATACAGAGAAAAAAGACCAATTTATTTTTTATTTATTTTTACTGTCTCTCCCACAAATGGTAATAAATGGGAAATTGCTAAAAGTGAGCCAAAAAGAGAGAGAGGAGAAACACGCTTTGTTAGCCAACCCTGAATAATCAAGAGCACCCTCACTTCTGTCTTTACACCTTTCAGATCCACTCACTTGTCTGTAGTGAGCATCTGTTTTGTGCAAAACACTGTCTTCAGCAGGAAGGGATTGAACGTAAAGTCAGGCTCCTTCCCTTGTGGAAGACAAAACGATTTGCCAGTGTTTCCAATGTGACTAGAGACCAGACCACTCGAGGTCCATGTATTGAGCTGTGAGCTCAGAGGGAATCCTTTGATTTGGACTCATCTTTGGGTGTCTGGTTGATGCAAAAATTGTCCTGTACTTACAGGAAGGTGGAGTCCACGTTCTCCCGGGTCTCAGGAGCTGCTCTGGTGTGTGGGCTCTTTGTGCACGGACACCTGTCTCACACCTCTAGAGACTGACCCAAAAGTCTGGCCCCATCACTCTTGGCTCTGTTCTTGCTTTCCAGGGCTGGGGAGCTGAGTATCATCGCCAGGATGTCACGAGCACCCCCTGCTGGATTGAAATTCATCTTCATGGACCACTGCAGTGGTTGGACAAAGTTCTGACTCAGATGGGCTCTCCACATAACCCAATTTCTTCAGTGTCTTAACAGCCAGTCATGTCTTAACCTACATTTCTATAGAATAGATGCTATTGCAGGCAGTGGCTTATATAGCATTTCAGATTTGCAATTAACTGAAGTTTCTAAGTACATAATGTAAATACTTATAATATATACTATTCATATTTTTTATCACCAGTTGTTTTGTGCTAGAATTTCTAGTCAACCTGATGCCAGTACAACGTGATTAGAAAAGCAGGTTTTTCATGCCTATGCTATACGAAGAAGCGGCTTCTTTTGTGGGAGGAAATAAATGAAAGGCAATTGCGTCAATAGAATTTGAAAAATGTTGGCAGAAAAAAAAAGGCAGCGATAGTCAGCCGTGTCATTATAAGGCATGTTGTGTGGCCTACCAGAAAAATATCAAAACTGTTTATATCTTACAAATCAGGGTACTAGCAGCACTAGAGAAAGTGACACTTTCAGACAAAAGAAAGCAGTCAAACCCGTAACATTTAAACAGTCTCACTTTTAGTGCTATTGGCAAGAAGGAAAAAATACACACACACACCAAGCTTGTAAAATTAATTCTGTAAGATAAGTCACGTAAATTATTTTATTTCCCAAGTTGAAATACCTATAACTGGACTGTTGTGCTGATTTTAATGGTACATTTGAAACAGATTTAAACTGTGATTGGAAAAGAGACTGTGAAGCTGGGAGTCATGTTGCTTCATGATCTACCACTGTACAAATAAAAATAATGAGTCTGATACATGGGAAGATTCATATGAAAATAGCATGAAATAAGCTGTGTTCCCAAATTGCAAAATAAGACCAGAACTTCGTCCAAGAATCACCCAGGGAGACCTCCACGTCGGAAATCGGGCCCCTGTTTTCCCGGTTATTCCAGTCAAGCAATCTGGCGATGTCCGAGTCTGCATAGTGAGCTAAAGGACCGTGTGTGTAAATCGTAGGTGGGGAAAAAGCAGTAAAGTAAGCGGGCTGGACGAAAGCATCGTATGTTTAATCACACCTTCTCATATTCCCATTGGAAGACTTCGTGGCGAGGGCACTCCTTTTGCCTCCTTTCCCCTACATGTTGGCACGTACTATTTACAGATGACTAAAACAGTGGTGAAGCCTTTGGGAAAATCTGGACACATTGCTAGGGTCGAATTTATGAGTTATATAACTTAGTGTCTCGATCTGCTGGTCACAGCTGGTAGCCTCTTAGAAAGCTGAAGCCTCATACCTGGAAATAACTTCCCAAGTAAAATAATAATTTCGTGACCCCTATAATTTCTGGGGAACAGTGGTACTGAAGAGTGGGACATTTAAAATATATATGTACGGTATTAAAAACCTGTTCTTATTTACTCTTGGATGATAGAGGAGAGGATAATTCACCACATTTCTAGGTACTTTCATATATAAGTATATATATATATATATGTATATGCATATATATATATATATAGTTCTCACCCACTAAACACTGCATTGCTTCAAAAAATATTTCACACCCTCTTAAAAATGTATAATTTAAGAAGGTAATTATGCTTGTAACAGACGGTACTTCAGTAATCCAAGAGGTTTCTTCATTTATGCATTCTGTCTCAACTCTTTTTAGCATTAGTGCACACAATAGTTGCTTCTCATTAAATTGTATTCAAGGTAGACATGATCCTGTGAAAAAGATATATACGAGTGAGCTCCTACTGTCACTTCTTGTAAGGACTAGTGTTATCTAATAGAAACTTTCATATATGCAATAGAAAATAGTACATTCTACGTTAAAACTAGGTGGTCCATTTAGTGTTTAGAAAACCCCGTAGTTCATTGGTTCAACTCCGTATTGTGCCCCTGTACAGGCCGGGTACAGTGTTAGGTACTGTGGAATCAAATGTAAACCAGAGACAGCCCCAGACTCTGGAGCTGAGAGTCTTGTTAGTAAACCTGTGTAGACATCTTCATGTTTCACAACTTTTAAAACAAAACCAAACCTACGATCTTTCTTTCGCTCGAAAAAATATAACTGATTTCTTAATTATCTCTATTTTGAAACTTACTTCCCTTCTCTTCTGAGCAATCAGGTAAGAGATGAAGTCTTCCTTGGAGAAATTCTACTTTTCTTCAGTGCCCCAAAGTTGTTTGTTTTCTCCCCTTCCCTGTTTTCCAGTTTTTTTTCCCATTTCTCTTTTCTTGGAAACGGCATTAATACGGTGAGTCTTCCTCACATGAATACAGCTCTGTGAGAGCATAAATATACATGGTTTTTGCTCCAGAGACCTAACACAGCTTTCTGGATCTCTTCACAGATGCTCAAACTCATCCTCTGATAACCTTATACCTTTACAGAATTAATCATAACTGGTCACTTATAAATTACACTAAAAAAAGTTAACAAACCTGGATGTTCATGCAGGTTTGGTAAAACCTGGACAAAATATTCCAGCGAGCCTGTGTTACTCCTTTAAAAAACAAATGATTAAAGTGGGGTACATTTGCATCATCACCGGTCCTGTCTCACCAAAAGTCCGCATTAGGATAGGAGTGAAATTCAGAAAAGTTAACCCTTCGGTCACTGTAACTAGTCACATTCTCATCAGGCTTTTAACATTTTTGCTGGCAGGAATTGTCCAAAGTTGTAATGTAGCATTTTCTTTCAGACTTCCACATTTGTTCATGTAGCATTCATTCCTTTAGATGGACAATCCCCCCAAAATGTAATAACATTCCTTTATAGGATAACTAGCAAAGTGGACATGCTAAGCCATTTAAAGGCACCAACAATGCCAGACATTTTTAAGGTTGCCATGGACAAGGGTCGTGCAATACGGAACAACGTTTTGGCCTGCTCTGAAGACCCAGAACATTTGTGGTGTTGTTCAAGCCTGTTTTCTGTTCTTTTCCTGTTTAAAAATTGAGATGTGAGGAGTTTGTTTTAGTTAGATGATATTTTACTATCTGCCAGTGCTTTGGAACTATAAAGATGTCACTTTTCAACACATTTACCTTATTTTTTTTTTTTTACATTCAGTATAATCAGGAAAAGTTGAACAACAACATAGCACTAGCACTTAGAATCCCCTTTTCATTGTCTTCTAAGGGATTAGAAGCAACAACAAAAGCATTTTCTAAGTATTACCTGCTAGACTTTAAGCACCTGCTTAACTTTGAATGTGTCCTGAATATTTGGTATGTATATTCAACAACTAAAGCAAACTATAACGTGCATTCCAAATTTGTCTTCCCCTGTTATGATTTAGCAGTTGAACTGTATGACAAGACTAGGGGATCCTGACATATGTTCAAATTGATGTAACACAAACCAACAAGAAAAGAAACCATTTCTATTTAAGTAATGCTTTTGATGGTCATATCTAGGCTTCAATTATCCTTCAAATGCACACTTATACTGTTATGTGATTGTTTATAATAAACAGTACTGTACCTATATGGTTCTGGCTCATTTTTCCCTACAAACATCATAGAAAGGTCATTGTATATGGGTCTTTAAGGTGATCTTAAACCATCTTATTTTGAAAATGAGATGCTTTTAAAATCTAACATGCTATACAGAAATTAGGTAATGGTTTTGAATTAAACATCTTGGTATCCCTGGCATTAAGTATAAAATCTTGGAGATATTTTGTGGTAATTTTAGAGAGGATATGCATAGAAGCTTTTTTTCTGGAGAGTGGTAAATATTAAGTGATATTGCAACATACAGGAAAGAACAATTTTATTATTGTAAACATCTGTTCATTGTACATATATATTAAGTATCAGGAAAAGCGCTAAAGATGACTAGTGAGGAAAAAGTAAGATAAAATCCAGGAGGAAGTTCTCAATTCCCTCCATTTCCTTTTAGTCTTAAAATGGAGGGGGAAAATATGTAACTATTTCAAGAAAGCTTAACCTTCTCATTAACTTGACCAAGAACATTTGTGGTGTTGTATTTTTAATTTTTTAAAGAAATGCTCCCTTTATTCAAAAGAGGTATTTGTTGACTTCCAAACTATAAACAAATGAAAGGCTATTCTGGTTCAGACGTAGGCGGGGATTGTGAGACCTCCCGTTTAAGCTGTGAGTTTATGGAGAACATTGATTATGTCTTGTCTGCTTTTGCATCTTCATGGTTCCCGATCCTGTTCCTGACTCTAATATTTGGTATTGGCATTTCAAACACTCACTAGTACAGTTTTTTTTTTTTTAATATATCATGGCATAGACATACAACATGGTCTTTAAACAGTAACCTATCTTAGAGAAGAGATATTTTCATCCTAGAAACCTGTGCATATTCATTTATCAGGTGGTTCTTAATGCATCAGCCCCTGTAGATACACAGCAGGCACTGTAGATGAAATGACAACACAGTTTCTGCCTTTAAAGGAATTTACAACTCTGTGGAGGAAGATGAACGAGTACGCCAGTCAAGGTCAGTGCATCATTGGTTGTGGCTGGTTGCTCTCCATCAGGCCCTAGGGGGCTACCTGGGAAGGTTTCTGGGCCAATCCAGCCTGTCTTCCTTCCCATCAGTTCCCTGAGCAAGTCACCCAAGACCTTCCTAAGCCAGGTTGGGTGCCTGCTCTCTGTGCTGCCATCATACTTGTGCTCCTCAATGGTCAGTTATTAATTCCTGCACCACACTGTTTACTTGTCCAACTGTCTGCCAGACGGAGTTCTTTAAGGGACGGGATTGTATCTATTCATGGTCATCGTTTTCCGGCTGTTGTTTAGAAAGGCATTTGGGGTTCGTATTGTAAAACCAGAAATGGTATTTGTTTCCAATTCCCCTTTTTAAAAAATCAGCGTGTATTTCATTTCTCCTTTTTTTTTTTTAGATTTTATTTATTGGAGAGACAGAGCAAGCACAAGCAGGGGGAAGAGGCAGAGGGAGAAACAGACTCCCCATGAGCAGGGAGCCTGACCTGGGGCTTGATCCCAGGACCCCGGGACCATAACCGGAGCCACCCAGGCGCCCCTCATTTCTCCTCTTTGAAATAAAATAATTGCAAGCCTCCAATTGCATGCTGTAGCTGGTGGGATAAGAGAAACCTGCTTATGATTTGGTTTGGAAATAGATTCTCAGCTGCACTGCAGTAGCAAAGAAAGGTAGCTTTGACAGTTAAACAATTACAATTGTTTTTATTCCAAGTACTTCTTTTCAAAATGTAAATTTCGGTAAAGATTAGGAAGAAGCCTAAGGAACTCTGATGTGGCTCTAGCATTGCCCTGCCAAAGCAGCTGTAAACAGTATGCGAACAGTGAGCGGGGCGGGGCCGGGCTCCAGTAAAATGTTATGGAGACCGAAATTTGAATCTCAATATTTTTCACATGTCATGAAATGTTTTCCTTTAGATTTTCTTCCACCATTTAAAAATGTAAAAACTATTCTTGGCCTGCGGCAGAACAGAAACAGGCTGTGCTTCGGCTTCGGCCTGGGGCAGGGTGTCATAGTTTGACAAGTCTTGCTTGGAGGACTGAGGCCACCCTGAGTGTACCAACCCCAGCTGTGCTCCCCTCTGTAAGCAGCCTCATGAGACACCCCAAGCCCAACCACCAGAACCCCTCAGCTGAGCTCAGCCAGCCCACAGCCTGTGAGCAACAACAACAAAAAGGTGGTTATTTTAAGCCCTCATGCTTTGAGGTGGTGTGTGTGGTGTGTTGGATAACGGAACCGGTGGTCCTCACCGTCGTTCTTCTGTTTGGAATGTTGATGAGACCTTGTCTTTGATTCATCAGGAGGCCTCAGGTGAGAGTTGCTGCTTCTCACAAAGTGCAGGCATGCCTATTTGAGAGCACCTCCCATGTATCATTGTATGGTTGCTACTCTGGTTCTGGTCAGTATCCTGGCTCGAGATGATTTGCCAGTACATCAGCTGTGTAGGAGATCTCTG